TAATTTGTAGGTAAACCTAAATATTTTTATAAATTTTGTATTTTGAGCGGAGTGATGAATATATCGATTTTATAATGATGTATTTTTTAAATTGTTTCGTGTCTTCAGACATTTTTTTCTAATAAACGATCATAGTAAAATAAATCGATTTAATAGTAAGTATACAAACATATTATCATGAAATAATATATTAATATTGAAATACTGATCTTATGTGTGACCTACTTATTACGTTTTTTAACAGTAAAATACATAGTTACTAGTTTACTAATAATTTTATTTTTCTTGTTATAACGTTCAAAAACCTGAATACTTATTTTCAATAATATTTTACAGGCACCGCACTGGCTCAAAAATAAAATAATATTCTTCATGTTTATAATAAATTTTCTTATTTAGTCTAAGATCACTAAATCAAAGTCAACCACGGTTATGTATAATTTCATATCCTTTGAAATTATGATTCATCGATTTAAACTAACATATTTTTTCTACTTAATTTATTTTAACTATGAAGTACTTCGATTTTGTTTCTGAAATTGTTATAAAACTGTTATTATATACACCGTATTATTATTATAACATCTCAAAATTCAAATAATGTATTGAATATAAGGGTCCACACGAAATACTACAGTCTTCAGATCATTGATTATTTGTGCGCTGTCGAGCTCTTATCTGGCAGTAGGCTCGACAAGTGACAACTCACACTGTACAACGGTTAAAAAATACAAAGATTATATATTCACACAAGAAAGTTAATAAATGTGACTTATAAATTATAATATAATAGTACCAAACACCGGTTTATTAATAATTATAATAATAAAAGTATAATACTTAAATATCAATCGATATTTAGGTATATAATATATAAATGTGCTGTAAGTCTATGACTATAAAGCCTCCTCTTAATAGCACATACAAAAATGCACGTAAATAATAAAAAATACAAAATAATAATATAAAAACTTACCGTTACCGCTAATTAGTCTGGCAATCAAAATAGATACGCAAGGACGGACGTCGGACAGTGACCCGTATGATCGCCGAATATAGCTGATATAGAATTCGATTATGATATAAAGATATATCTCTTGAATCGACGTCGGCGGCGCGACACTTTACGTATATTATAATATATATACATAATGCATATATATATATATATATATATATCGCGGACGTAATAATAAATATAATACATGGACTGTTTTACTATAAATCCAATGTCCGCGACACAATTTTGCACTCCAATCTCCTTAAAAATGTGTTATGGAGTCGAACGGAAGTGACGAAAAGAAACGTGCATGGAACACACCGTTACGTCCGATCGCACTGAGTCCAGGGGGATATCGATCCAAATACGACGTTGGTGACCACGACACGACGTGAGCACTTTAAATACAAGTATAATAGAAGCGTAATTATAACAATGCACGTCGCACTGGCTAAGACAATTTTCCGCAAGTTTACACTAAAAACGGAGGCAACACAAGACGGACATGACCCCGACGCTTACACGCTGACGGAGACGAACTTAGATAAAATGACGAGTGAACGCGGTGTCGATAAAAGCCGTGATTATAGAGGAAGGGGTCGCCGAAAAGTTTATTGCACTCCGCGATTATTTGGACCGGTTCGAACTTCAGACCGCGGAAAGGTGGCGGCGTGAACAGATTGTATTGTGACATTTTTAAAAATGGTAAATGAATATACACGTATATATATAGATAATGATAAATATTACTTATTAGTAAGGCTTATAACTTATAGATCTATAAAAAGCGTTAGTTATAAGCGCAATAATATGCTCTAAAAAATATTCACATAAGCGCTTAAATATGCACTAAAAATACTTAAATATAAGAAGAAAAAACATTTGCATAAAAATAATTTTCAAGTTTTTATTATTAAAAAAAATTAAATAATTTAAAAATAATGATGTTGGAAAGCCTAGAAACTATAAAGATAAGATAATGGTGCATGCACTACGATTATAATAGTATATTGCATCTTACATTATTAAACATACACACTTGGCTACGTTGCGCGTCGCCTAAACTCGTATTTTTTACTACCGTATTAACTAACGCATGAATTAATTATAAATATAAAATGATTAATACTACTATAACTACTTGTTATAATTAAGAAAAAATGTTTTAAAGGCTTCAATACTGCAAAAGACTTAAAAAAAACTATTTTAAAATTAAAATTTTGAAATATGCAAAAATATGCAACATAAAATATCGTATTTAACATCTTGGTTTTCTAAAACAAATTTATAGCTCACATAGACATCTCCAGAGCCCCTCAAAAGAAATATAAAAATGCTAGAAGTTATGAGTTCTGCTTATTAATGTTACAAGAATTAAAGCTTACAAATATTACAATAAAAGTCGTATTAGAATTATATTATTATTTTTTATTATCAAAATTAAATTTTACAAAATAGCAATAGCAAGTAGGTATTTAGTAATAGAGTCTTAAAGATAGAAAAGACACTTAATGGCAATTGATTGATAAGTTTAATTCGTTCAAAAATATTCAAATAAGTCTCCTAAATTAAAATTTATTATTTTTGTTCATGTTATTAATAACAATAACATATTACTATACTCGGCATCACAGTATCCAATCATTTAATATATATTTTATATTTTATAAAGTCATAAATGTGTCCTATACAAGTGACTTGATAAGTCGATCTTATATTGTAAAAAATTGCAAGATCTAAACACTTTCAAGGGTTTACGACAATCTATTATTTATTAATATTGATATAAAATATTTTCATTAAGATTTACTAAATAAATTATAACATATTATTTGTAAAATAAAATTTATGTGGTAAAAATAAAATAATGGGCAATTTTTACGACATAGTAATAAAAATAGTTAAAAATTAATGAATATTAAAAAATAGAAATAAAATCGTATCAATGACATTGCAATATCTGCATTTTTTATCATTATGCAATACAATAAAAAAAATATTATAAAAGCACCTATAATATTTACAATACCTATTAATATTTAATACCGTAGTTTTGTTAGAACTTTATTAGAGTAAACATATTTGTTAATATTTGCCTGTTATCAAATGTTTTAATGTTGAAATTATAAACAGCAGAGCCTTGAATAATGTAGGTACGGTAAAATACATACGCATAGACCATTGATTTAGTACAAAAGATTAAAAATATAATAGGTATTTAAGGACAAAATTATAATATTTTTATTATGCACTTAAACTTTACAAAATTTTATAGCACAACCATTAAATTGTAGTTTGAAAAATGTGACTATAAAAGTTGGTGTTCTATATAGTTATTTACTAATTTATACCTACGTTGTTATATTTTGGAAAAATTAGAATTAATTATTTTAAATATTGCTTAGTATAGAAAGAATCAGTTGTTTATAAAAAAACTTGTTTAGTACAACTATTACTAATAATATAAACATTTTTATAATAATCCTATTATTCTTATTGGTACTAATTTTTAGTGGTCCCAAGACCCAAGAAAGTGCTAGGTACGGACTTTATTTTTTATGAATTTCATTAAAAAAATTATATTATTTACCTGTAATACCTAATTTATAAAAAAACGATCCATCACTTATTATTTAGTAAAAGAATATTTATTTTCTAATTTTTTAATTTGTTGAATACTGTTTTTCATATTATAGTCATTAGTTTTTCTTCTAAGTTAGAGAAGAATCATTTTTCAGGGCCCGTAAGTGAATCGATTTGTTTAGTGTGGTGTATTGATATGGAATTTGTGTAATTTTCATGTATAACCTTTTCAGCATTTTACAAATATTCTAAAAAGTATAAATTGTGTACACCTGTATAATATTACATGCTATATGTAATATTTAACAATTAACGTTAAAATTTAAAAAAATATATTAATAATACCCTATATGTTATTAACAAATAAATAGGTAGTAGAAATTTTATGGGTAAATACTTTAACATTATGTTATTAATTTAATATTTTATGAGTTATTAGCGTTATTACTTATTAGTTATGATTAGAGCTCAGATGTTAATGTTTAGAAAATGTGTTAACACAAAAATATACATTTATGTCCTAAGAAAGGTATAATGCATGTGGTTTTTGTTTATAAAATCGACTATCTTGTTAGTTGTTGTTGAAATCAAGAATAAAATTACCTAAAATTTTAATAAGAAACATATTTAGATTCGTATATCAAATTTAACTCAAAGAAAGCATTGTCCACGAAGTTCTAAAAATAAACAAAAAGTAATTTATGTCCAGGCTCTATTTACTATATAACAAACCAAATTTAAAACAAACAATGTGTCTATAATCTATATTATATGTGTAATTATTATTAAAAACATTTACCTATCAAAATGTATTATATTATAAGTAAATAGAAATATATAATAAATTATCTGGTTTAATAAAGTTTGAACTTACGTAAAAAAAATGAGATTACTTAAAACTTTGTAAGATAATAAAACTTTCAGTTAATTTAAATACCGAATATTTTCCACCAATTACAAGTTCGGCGCTAGTGCGTCACCGATGGTTGGATAAACATCACAGATGTTCGGATAAACATTTTGTCAAATAGGCATTCTATGTTACTGGCCATTTTCATTTTACAAATCTATTTTTTTTTTGTTTATACCTTAAACATCTATTGTTCACTATTGACTATACATTTTTTTTTCATTTAACACATCACTCACAAATTTGAATAAATTTAATAAATTTAATATTATAAAACTTTAAAATTTAAATAACAATGCGAGAAATTTGTCACTTACAAGCAGGTCAATGCGGAAATCAAATTGGTGCAAAAGTAATACACTTTTATATTATACCTGACCATTACATATTAATGAATATATTCGTAAATCAAAACCTAAATAGTTAATTGTACAAACGTAAATTATATTACTTTTTAATAATTATTAAAATAATACATTACAATAACGTATTTTTATAATTTTTCAGTTCTGGGAAGTCATATCTGACGAGCACGGTATCGACCCAACTGGGTCATATCACGGCGATTCTGATTTACAATTAGAACGTATCAACGTCTATTACACTGAAGCGCTTGGTAAATATTTTTACAAGTCACATAATATTGTTATTTGAAAATAAATAAATTTTGATTAAATTATCATAGAATTTAAATATATCAATAAAATTACAGTACTGAGAAAATCACATTACGATTTTTAAATTCTTAATGCTTTTATTTTAAAGTTATAATTGTTATAAAGATAACTGTAGTCTAGTTTAGGTCGTCTAGAAATAAACATTTTTATTTTGTATGGTATTTCGGAACGTCTATAATTATTTATTACATTGATTCTACAATCTAAGTGATATGACAATGATTCAATAAAAAGTTATTTATAATTTTTTAATGCTTGATTTTTTGGAGATTTTTTATTTTATATGATGTTAAACAATTATTTTCTTCAAATCACGACCATATTTTTCATGTATAATGAATTGACTTTTTCAATTTATTTGTATTGAAAACAGAGAGGTATAAATTAAAAATATAAATATATAATTTATAAACATAAACATATTTTATTAAAATTAACTGTATAAAATTTACTTTATTCAGATTAAATCTATTGGTTGATGTCTTAACGCTTAGTTTAATTATACTATTTAACAAATTGCAATTTATTAAACACATTTGTAGTTGTTTTTTAGTTTAATGTAAAATTATATACAAATATTTATTGAATTAAATTAAATTTGATGTAGATATATATTTTAAACCATAGGTTATTTTGGAATCGTTATCCTCATTTAATAAATTAGATACGATCGGCGTATTAAATGATACACACAAATGGATTTAAGATTAATTTAATAGTTTTTCGATAAAGTTTGAAAGTGTTTAACATTATTGGTAGATTCGATTTATAAATTAGCTAGAAGGTAAGTAATTATAGTATTTAATGATTTAAACTACTTTAAAAAAAAATGAATATGTAATTTTTATTATTTGAAATCTTTATCTGGTTTTATCTGGTTTAAGATCAATTAATAGTATTAGAACGCGTTCAAAATCGTTTTTTCTTTTATACTGGGTATTTATTTAAAATTAATCACCCATTTCACGATTACTTACTCAAATATTCTTCTTCTTTCTTCTCGCCGTTCTAATGCTGGCACCAATTCATTTCTTCCATTCTTAACGGCTCCTTGGATGTATGTATCCGATATTTTATAAGGCATAAGCTTTTATGTTCCACTTTATCTCGCCCTAAGCCATACTCATTTAGATGTTTATTTTCATTCAACATCTTACGAATACAACAACACACTTCATCGTATGCTCCGTTCCTTTTACAACGGGCACTCTAATAGTAAATTAAATCATACTTTAATTGTATTTTATATTTTATTTCTGTTTTCCTGTATAATATATTAATATCTGTTATCTATTTATAAGTTTTTATTTTGTAAACTTAAATTTATGTTATGTACTATAAAATGTCCATTTGCGTTGATAAATAAATAAACATTTAAATGTTAGTGATTCAGTTAAAGTTCCTTCAGTGTTAATCTTACTAATTTTATCTTTTTGTTCTTCATTACATATACTTATTATTGATTAAATTATATCGTTGTAGATTCTGAAATTATAAATTAGGTTTAAAAATATATATTTATTAGTTTTAATTATTTTGAGTAAAAACTTTCATAGATATATTAATAAAATAATATTTTTGAACTATACAATGTTTAAAAAAATGTATTTGAATATTAAAAAACAAAACAAAGCGAATTGTAAAAAATAACAAATACTAGTAAAAACTTAAATAATATATTATTAATATATTGAGGTTTTCATAATACTGGAATTATAACTTATAATACTCTACAATAAATTATTGCTTAATGGACTAGGAGTCGAGTAGTAGATACGTATATAATATTTATTATTATTTTTATTGATTATTCACTAAAAGAAATTTATTTCATATTATTAATTACTACTAATTGCCTTAGGAATTTCTTCTGGAAATCGTTATGGAATTTATGGTATTATAATACTAGTTTAATGCGGTAATGCCTATAATTATAGCTATATTATGTATTCTTATTAATTTTGTACATCATAATAAAATCAAAAAATATATTTAATGCAGCACTGATGTACACAATTTATACTTATATTAGTTTTTTAATTAGTATTGACTTTTTGATAGATACTAAAAAAGAAAATTTAAAATGTGTAACATTTAATTTATTTTTTGTAATTTTACTTGTATTATTTATTTAAATATAATTAAAATTTATTAAACAGTTAATATAATTACTATGTATAAATTTAATATTAAAATAATTACTTTTATAAAATCTACTGAATAGATTTGTCTTGATTATTTTAAGCAATGGTAAATAGATATTATATTCTTTGTATGAATTGTACAATACAGGCTTTTAATTTTTTTAAATTTAAGTCATATTTTGTGCGAAAACAAACAATTCAATTATCTATGTAGGTTTATCATAAATTTATAACATAAAATACAATATTCTTTAAAGTTTAAACTGTAGATAAATATTATTATATGTTAATTCTTTTTATACATAAATAATATTACCTTTGATATTTGTTATATCTGCTATAAAACGTATTGAAAAATTAAAAATAGTATTAAAAAAATTTGTTACATTAACATAATATACTAGGCGGTAAGTATGTTCCTCGAGCAGTTCTTGTGGATTTGGAACCCGGCACCATGGACTCTGTAAGGTCGGGTCCATTCGGTCAATTGTTTCGGCCAGATAACTTTGTTTTTGGACAATCCGGTGCAGGCAATAATTGGGCGAAAGGACATTACACAGAAGGCGCTGAGCTAGTGGATTCAGTGCTCGATGTAGTTAGGTATAGTTATGTTAAAAAAAACACGTTGTTAAATTTAATTAATATCCAATTGCATCTAAATTTATATAGTTATATTAAATAAATTAAAAATATTTTTTTATCAAGATGAACTATATTTGATTTTTAAAAAAAAATGTATTTAGGAAAGAAGCTGAGAGTTGCGACTGCTTACAAGGATTCCAACTGACCCATTCGTTGGGCGGCGGAACTGGTTCCGGGATGGGTACACTTTTGATATCGAAAATTCGTGAAGAATACCCAGACCGTATCATGACTACATACAGTATCGTCCCTTCACCAAAAGTATGACAAAAGCTAAGCTTATAACCATAACATACCCAGTTGTATACTGTATACGATGGACGAAGAACTTAGACAACTGTATTTTATCTAGTATTTACCATTATTACCAATGTCTATAGTGTTCGAGTGACTGTCGTTATAAAAAGAGTATTTATTTTCATAATAATTATGAAATTATTATTGAATTATATAATTAATTATATATCTATCGATAGCCAGACATCTCTTATCATTTCTTATTTTGTAGATTATTTAAATTATTACTGACAGAAACAATTTTTATTCCATGAATAACTATTCTATTGTTAATCTAATGCATTGCGATGACACCATCGATTTTATTAACATTCAAACTAGGTATGTAGTTAGGATAAATTAATGACTATTGATATTAATTTATCATGAACTTTAATTGTATTTATACGCGATTTAAAAAATAATGCTTATATGTTTTCTTGATTTGAACCGCTAGTGCTACAAAAAGAGAAATGTGAATAGTTTAAGTTTGTTAAAAATTAAATTTAATGTAATTTAAGTGGAAACGTATTTTGTTAGCGTGGCCTTACACTCAGTTCGCCTGTAACTGATGAATCCTATAGGAACGGGCTGAGTTTACTGCACTACTTCCGGCACCGTATTTATTTATTATTTTTTTTTTTTGTCCGCAGGTATCCGACACGGTCGTCGAGCCGTACAATTCTACGCTGTCGGTGCACCAGTTAGTGGAGAACACAGACGAGACCTTTTGCATCGACAACGAGGCGCTGTACGACATATGCTTCCGGACGCTAAAGCTCACGACACCCACATACGGCGATCTCAATCACCTAGTGTCGGCAGCCATGTGCGGTGTGACCACGTGCTTCCGATTCCCCGGACAGCTCAACTCGGATCTCCGGAAACTGGCCGTCAACATGGTGCCGTTTCCACGGCTGCACTTCTTCATCACTGGCTTTTCGCCGCTGACGTCCCGTGGCAGCCAACAATACCGCGCGCTTACCGTGCCCGAACTGGTCCAGCAGATGTTCGACGCGAAGAACATGATGGCTGCGTGCGACCCCCGGCACGGCCGGTACCTGACCGCGGCCAGTATATTCCGTGGCCGGATGTCCATGAAGGAGGTGGACGAACAGATGCTCAACGTGCAGACAAAGAACTCCAGCTACTTCGTTGAGTGGATACCGAACAACACCAAGACGGCCGTGTGCGACATACCGCCCAGGGGCCTCAAGATGTCCGCCACGTTCATTGGCAACACGACCGCCATCCAGGAGATTTTCAAGCGCGTATCCGAACAGTTCACGTCCATGTTTCGGCGCAAGGCGTTCTTGCACTGGTACACCGGCGAGGGCATGGACGAGATGGAGTTTACCGAGGCTGAGTCCAACATGAACGACCTGGTTTCCGAGTACCAGCAGTACCAGGAGGCGACCATCGACGAGAATGACGAAGAGGACGGTGACGAAGACGCTGATGCGTAAACCCGCGGTCCCTTTCCGCGTGACGCGTCCAAAAAACCTTATTACACGGCAGATTAACACGATTCCTGAATGTATTTTTATTTTTAATTATCAAATTCAAATTATAACCGATTCAACAAAAACCAAAATCAATCTATTTTACGATCGCTAAACTATTTTAATTATTAAAGGTACTTGATAAATAAATATATATTTTCAATATCACACAATTTATTATATCTATTGGTATTGGAATATATGCATTTGTACGTCGACGGTGATAGTATGAATTATAATACATTATAAATTTATAATTTTTTATATTTCAAAACACAATTTAAATAGATATAATGAGATACCTAGGAATCAAAGTATGAAAATCTGGTGTAATCTATCTTAAATAAATCACAAAGAATTTAATTATGTTTTCAAATTTATGTAATGGTACAATTCTCATAATCTTACAATGATGTTTTCTTTTTTAAATCTAGTTTTTGGTAAGAAATTGGATGTTTTTGGTGATAATGATAGCCAGTGAAAATTATAAAAAATTCTGCATTTTTATTTAGGCTCATAAAAATAACTGTTTAGAAATAATAACATAAAAGAAATACAAATTCATTTACATATATTTTAGAGGAAATAGTTTAATTCTTCAATGTGGTTTGGTTAAAACGTTTGTTTTAGTAGACTTAAAAAGTAGCTATTATTGTCAAATACAAAATGATTATTATAGAACGAATACTGTACGTATATCTTTTAGCAGAGCTCAAATTTGTATACATTTGCATATTGTATTAGTTGATTGTAAGTAATGAATGCTAAATAAGCACAGGCCATATTCTATGCAAGTTATGCGAATTATGATTTAAAATCCTATTTTTTTTTTTTTTTTTTGAAGTGAAAAATTCTTTAGGCACGTTGGGCACCCCGTATAAGAAAGCATTTGCGAGTGAAGAAAAAAGTATGATCTCGCGACACCACCACCGCGAGTAGATATATATACAGTGGTATATATATTACTTGTTGCTATAACAACAATATTAATGTATTAATATTATCAGAAACTCATATGGGTAACGACGAAAAAATTTACATTCCAAATTTTAACTTTGTGCCGAGTTTCAGAAGAAATAATCGTCCAGCAGGAGGAGTAGCTATAATCAAAATACCGACACAGTTCATTATTGCACAAATTATATGGATGTGCATGCCAAATACGCTACGATGTTTAATACTTCTACTTCTGATATCGGCGATATGTGTATAAGTCGTTGCCACTGCAGCGATAACCAATTCATCATTATGGTTGCCGTTTACATTTCTCCTAATAATTCACTGCGTGCTATACGAGACTTCTTTTATGAAAATTTTTTTATTTATTCTCATGGCGCATCTGCATTGCTTCACCAAAATATTGGAAAAAGATTCGATGATTTGCCAATGATTTTGAGTGGGGATTTCAATATAAACTTTGCAGACGATAAAAATCTACCATTATTGGAATTTTTCAAAAATGAATTTGGTTTGAACATGTCAAATGATCGCAATTTTAGTACAACAAGATACAAAACTACTATTGATGCGGTCTTTACAAGATATTTGAATAAATTCGAATCAAAATTGTTTGTATCATACTTTAGCTACCATAAACCAATTGTATCACTTTTAGAAATTGGCGATGATGCAGTGATGATGGTGCAAGAGTTGGTGAAATGATGGATGGAAATTGATTTTTCTGAGTGTACTTTAACTCATTTTTGTAAAGCATGTGTAATAATTTTGACATGTAATTTTTTTTCCTTTTATGTAAAATAACTGAAATAATTATGTATAGTATTTTATATTGATAAATAAAACAATTCGTGGTACATTATTTCCTAAGCATTACAAAATTTTTAAAAACGAAGTGAAATTTTTCTATAGTATATATACACATACACGCTCACACTTAAGTATAACAGTATATACCACAGTATATATATACATGTACTCTCGGTGGCGGTGGCGGTGGCGGTGTCGCGATTTCATACTTTTTTCCTCACCCGCAAATGCTTTCTTACGGGGTGCCCAACGTGCTTAAGAAGTTTTCACTTCTACCGGCAGTCCCCCGACTGGTTTTTTTTTTTTTTAGAGCATATTTGTACATATTACAACATTTTACAATGTAATGTTATACAATTATTTGGTATTTTTTTTTTTTTTTTTTTATAGAATATAGCAATATCGCATACTTGCACTATTTTTTTAACTCATGTAGAACTTCGAGAAAATAAAATCTTCACGTCTACCTACTAGTTAAACCTACTCAATTATAATTTTATAATATTATTTATTTTTTGAATTTTTACATTCATTTATATACTATATTTTTGAAAATAATGACTTCACAACAATAAATGGATAAATAATTATTGCTATAACTTGTTTCATGTAAATTTAAAATCAAATTGCACTTTTTACGAGTATATATTTTGTGATTTTTTAGTGCATATAAATCTGTTTCTGATTTTTAATATTGTACTGTGTCGTAATGTGAATAAAATGTTTGGGACCGTTGATATATACTATTCAATTCGTGAGATCGTGATAATGATTAAGTACCTAATTAGTTTTCATATTTCATATCTTCACTAAGTATTCACATATTCACAATGAAACAACATAAATAAACTAAAAAAAAAAATTTAATTAATGTATTCAATATATAATAATTAATAATAAATTGATTTAATTTTAGTAGGTAAGTATCTATTTTACAACGGAACAGGAAATAATTATAATATAGATTATTAAAATAATTATTAAAATTATAATATTAAACGCAATGCCCTGGTATAATATAGCTGCGGTATTATTATCATCATTATGTTTTGTAATTATAATGATGTAAACAATTATAATAGAGCATTCTAATTGGTAACAAAAATAATCTCTAATGAATAAAAACCTAAAAGAATATATTATATTTATGAATATAATATATGTATAATTTGATAATAATTTTAAAAATTATTACAAGGGCCAAGGATCAAATAAATTGTTATAGCTATTATGATAGTACAGATGTCCGTGCAGCCCCAATGATGCTTAATTAATAATTTGTACATCTGGACCACAGTCTATATAGAAAATTATTTTATTTTATCTATTTTGTGCCGGGCACCAACTTTCTTCTGCGCTTACATCTACCACTTATTTATTACTTTTTGTCGAGCGACCGACCAACCTCATTGTATTATGTGTGTAGTCGTATAGTAGTAGTATAAGATGTAACAGATTGACCAGAAGTGATTGGGAATGTCATACATAAGGTGGTGAGCTACGTAAATAGTTTTATAATAAGTATGTGTAATTATACTATTATGAAACTAGGAACAATGGGCAATATTGTAATAATTGTGTGAATAAATAAGTAATTAAATATGAACAGGTAATTTGTAATAACTATATAAATATATCTTCGATAGTCTGGCTCAATATCATTACATAAAAAATAACCTTTCTAGATCAACAGGAATAACCATTAACAAATGGCACTTATGGCTTATGGTCAAACCAATAAATGTACTTAAACAATAAGTGAAACAAATATCATTTGAATCACAAGAGTCCAAAAACTAATGTTTCAAATAGTTGGTATAAAACAGTTTTTAATAATTTACAAGATATTGTAAATAAAACATAAATTTAAATTCCTAATAGCACACAACTATTTTAGTTATCTACTTAGTTAACTATTTAGTAAATATTCATTAGATATAATTTATATGGCAAAACAACGTTTGCCGGGTCAGCTTGTAATATATAAAATTCACAATAACTGAGTGATAAACAGTGTAATGAAAACAAATTAAACGAAGAGTATTAGAGCTAACTAAAATTTTTTTCAATATGTGCTTTTTACTCTATGATAACTCAAAATCATCAAAAAATGATTTTGCGTAAATACCGCTTTATCCATGTTACGCGTGGGTCAGAGAGAGAAAACAAATAGTGCGCTAATATCCTCTTAATATCAAACTAGTTTTAAATTGTTACTGGATCTAAAATCAAATTAAGTTATGTCTGTTTGACTTTTTATGTTTTATTGTACATTTTGAGTTGGGTCTATCTGAAAAAATAAATATTTCGATTATTAAGTTACAATACTACTTTATTCTGTTTTTCGTATACTTAATAATATATTAAATATCGATATGTATAAAATAATTAATTACAGTATTGTTATAAATATAATAATTATGTTCAAATAGAAAATTATATGATAATTTCGTAAGGTACACACTAATTTATCATGATTTTTTATAAATAGATAAATTTCCAATCCATAATATAATCGAAAAAAAAATTATATAAGTATATCTAAATATCATAATAGTTATAGTATAATTGAGGTATTCATTTTTGCTTACATGATTCTTGCAGGTTTAATTTTTTTTGCAACACTTATTTTGGGTGGCCACTTGTAAGCGTTTTTAAGTTATAGAGAGTTAAATTGTTAGTATTATATTATAATATTAATATATAATCACCGTATTTAAACATTTTAAATAATATTTAAAAAAATAATCTGTTTAATTTTTATTCATTTAATCTGAGTTGTTATTGACCGGATGTAATATAATTTATTAATCGATTATATTTATTACAATAATACAAATAAGCCGGTCTGAAGTCGTACTAATGTACTATGCAAATTCAACAATTTACAGTCGGTAAACACAAAGTTATTAATTAATAATTATCTATACGATAACAACAACAATCTACAGGTCATCTCGAGTAGGAACACGAAATTTTTTTTTTTTGTCTATTCTATACGAAAATAGAATAAAAACCATTACCTTCTAACTCCTATAAGTGTCCTTTTAAAACGTTCGATGTTAAATAAATTATAGTTTTAACTTTTAACCACGGTCGGTTGTTGTTATTCATAATCTCATATTCTCATAACTTGATAAACATTTAAATTTTACACCGTTTTATTTTGTTTAATATAAATAAAGCTATATTTTAAACGATTGTGATTGTGTACGATTATTTAATGTAAATACAAAATAAAATTGTCGAATAGAACTTTTAAAATGTTTTATTGATATACCTTTTGAACAAACTTCTTATTTACAATGGGTAAATAAATAATTGTTTGTACTTTGTTGAGTATTCTCTGGCATGCTGTATTGCTG